TGCCACAGTATAACAGTGACATTAAACTCCGAAACAGGCACCTATCCTTAATTTATCTCCTTGATGCCGAGTGGCAGGCAAGGTTACAACAAATACCATCTTTTAACGTCTTTTGGCATGACGCAGCCGGTGACCTATTGATAGAGCACCAGGCAAGATAATAACAAATACCATCTTTTAACGTCTTTTGGTATGACGAAGTCGGTGACCTATTGATTACATAAAGTGACTCGGTAGTTATCGCTCTGCAGCTTCATCTCTCGATAATGGGTGTAGATGTCAGCATCGTGTCAAACGAGGACATGTTGGTGCTTTGGTCCAGAGCATTTATGTAAAGGGAAATGTCAGAGTAACTCTCCATTCCTTAAATATAATGGAGCCGAGGGCCACTATTTTTAAGGAATCGAGAGTTACGAGGATATTACCCTACTTAAATTACATCCGAAGTATTGGTAATGTTTCTGTTATGTATATTTAATGTCAAAATGTCAAAATGAAATTTTGAAACTTTTACACTTCGCGCCAATCCTGAAAAGGAATGGAGCGAGCTGACAATGGAATGACGTCACAGATGTAATTTAACATAAAGGAATGCTAATAATTACACTTGATAATCGAGGATGTGACCCAGCATGAGTGAGGGAGAAGGGTTTGAACTCATACTCCAATTATGGAGAAAATTCAAAGCGATGCAGGTCTTAGACAAACAATTAGAGTGTAGCACCAATACCCTTCAATACGTCTGTGAAAACCACGATCAGAGGTACATTGTTGACAATCCTACAAAACTGTTTGAACCGGGATTTGAACTCCCGATCATAGGGTTTGGACGTGTTCTAGGGACGTAACTCTGCAAGACCACCGTGCCCCATGATGAATTGTTTACAATGCCTATATATTTTTCTTCATATATGTGTATACGCATATCTATAGAAAACCAGCTTGGGTCACAATAAGCAATAACACGTTTTCAACAACAACAACAAGAAAACACAACAGGGATACACTATGTCGACACTGATCAGCACTGCCAATTTGGTGTTTTCCTACGTCATCTGTATACAGACAAGTCTTAAGGTCATAAAAATATACAAGTCTCATTCATATGACTACTCGTGAGAATGAGTGAGTGAGTTTAGTTTTACGCCGCTTTTAGCAATATTCCAGCAACATCATGGCGGGTTACGCCAGAATTCGGTTTGACACATTGTACCCATGTGTGGAATCGATCCCAGGTCTTTGGTGTGACAAGCGAACGCTTTAGCCACTAAGCTACCCGACCGCTATTGAGAGAGCTTCTGGTTTCTACAGATGTAACTAACTTAACACATTATAATGATCATAAGATCTAAAAGCAGGCTCTACAAGATATGCATATGTGGTGATAATCCACCACACTCTGGCAATCATCACTGTACTAGTAGTAGAATTATTATATACCTACTTTTATTCCCGTTAGTTCTTCTCCGTCGATGGAAAGAAGGTGACAATCAAGACCCTTGATCCGAAGTACCAGGATGTGATTGGGCGAGTCGAGTCCCTGTCCTTCTCTGACATAAAGTCCATCAACATCATGTACAACTGCGCAGGTCAGTACACCCCTCTGTTGTATTAGCAAAGAACGATAACTCCGAGAGCATTATCGCGGAGGCGACAGTGACTGACTATAACTGCTGGATTTTTAGCTGAGAATGTATATTTTTCGCGACTGGTTGAGACATGGAGGAACTATACAAATTTTGCACATCGGTGTTTTTGGTTGGTTGGTTGAGTGAGTGAGTATGGCTTTACGCCGCTTTTAGCAGTATCCCAGCAGTATCACGGCGGGGGATACAGAAATGAGATTCACACATTGGACCAATCCAATGTGGGCAATCGATTTTGGTTCAGGCGTGTCCAGATTTATTGTTTTGTGTTAATAGCAGTTTCTCAATAATCAAAGCAAAAAAAAATCTTTCTTTCTTTCTTTCTGTTTATTTATTTATTTATTGTTTGTACTGTTTAAAGAATGTTCTGATCATAACTATTTTTTTAATCTTGTCCTCTTCTTGAAAGGTCGAATGAAAATGTAATTGAGGCATTCCAAGAAATACATATAGCTATTTCAGTCGAGAACCACTTGAGAAATCCGATTCGGACTACTTGGATTATACGACAAACAGGAAGTTTTGAGAACAGCTGTTTTTGTCATATTACTACCTGGTGATCTGTCACTGCTGCTATAGCTGCACACGTAGCGGTGGGGTAGCCTAGTGGTTAAAGCGTTCGCTCGTCTCGGCGAAGGACTGGGTTCGATTGCCCACATGGGTTCAATGTGTGAATCCCATTTCTGGTGTCCCCCGCCGTGATATTGCTGGAATATTGCTAAAAGCGGCGTAAACCCATACTCACTCACTCACTATTGCAGCACACACGTTTCTAATTGTGGGTTTCCTTTAACCTATTAAATTATATATGCTTCAAAATCCTCACCATTAAACTACTTTCTTGAAGGATGGCACAGTGTACCGGTTTTCACATTGTTCTTCTATTCCAGAGTTCTGCCCTCGCCGCCTGAACTGTATCGATGGGGGTTACCAAGGCCCGAGTTGCGCCTGTGTCTGCCCTAAACCCTTCGTCTCCTGCGAAAGTAGCGAGCCTCTGCCATCTTACCCCTCCGTGGTTTCAGGTACGAAAGTACCTGCCACAACCTCAACTTCACCAAACAGTACAACCTCATCGGCCTCAGAAGGAGAAGCTTCAGATCTCATTGGAGGCAACCCTTGGGCGGACATGCAAGGTCAAGGTCCAGGTCACGCTCAGCATGATTTACCCATACTGAAGGTCACCGATCGCCAAACACAAGGGAACAATGAGGTCATATATATGTCCACGGGAAACATTTCAGCTGCGCTTGCGACCTTGGTCCCTGAGAAAAGCCAGACAATCGATTTGTCTTCACCAGCAAGCTACCAGCAAACAAAAGTTGGAGGGCCTTCCATTACACGTCTCTACCTCACAGATCTAGCTGGAGATGGTTCCATGACAGCCCCATACCCTTCAGATTCAACAGGACAACCTTCACCTTCACCTTCAACGACAGCCAATTACTCTTCAGATTCATTTAGACAAAAACCAATGACATCAGGCTACCCTTCAGATACTGTTGCACAGAATTCACCTTCACCTTCAGTGATCGCCCAGTACCCTTCAGATACCGCCAGACAACCTTCTATGGCAGCTCGCTACCCTTCAGATACCGCTAGACAAACGTCTATAAGAGTACGCTTCACTTCAAACCCAGCTGGACAACCTTCTGTGGCATCTCGCTACCCTTCAGATAACGCTAGACAACCTTCTATGACAGCTCGCTACCCTTCAGATAACGCTAGACAACCTTCCATCACAGCTCGCTTCTCTTCGGATACTGCTGCACAGCCTTCCATTACAGCTCGCTTCCCATCAGATACAGATGCACAGCCTTCCATGACAGCTCGCTTCTCTTCGGATACTGCTGCCCAGCCTTCCATGACAGCTCGCTACCCTTCAGATAACGCTAGACAACCTTCTATGACAGCTCGCTACCCTTCAGATACAGCTAGACAACCTTCCATGACAGCTCGCTTCTCTTCGGATACTGCTGCACAGCCTTCCATGACAGCTCGCTATCCATCGGATACTGCTGCACAGCCTTCCATGACAGCTCGCTTCTCTTCGGATACAGACGGACAACCTTCCATGATAGCTCGCTACCCATCGGATACTGCTGCACAGCCTTCCATTACAGCTCGCTACCCTTCAGATACTGCTGCACAGCCTTCCATGACAGCTCGCTTCTCTTCGGATACAGCCAGACAACCTTCCATGATAGCTCGCTATCCATCGGATACTGCTGCACAACCTTCCATCACAGCCCGCTTCTCTTCGGATACAGCTGCACAACCTTCCATGATAGCTCGCTATCCTTCAGATACAGCTGGACAACCATCCGTGTTGGAACAGTACTCTTTAAATCCAGTCACACAAGTACAAATATCATCACGCTACCCTTCGGACACAGATCGGCAAACCTCAATCACAGCCCAATACTTATCAAATCCGGATAAACGACCTTCAATTACAGCTCGCTACCCAATGCCTCATGTTAGGCAACCTTCTATGCCAGCTGGCTTTACTTTAACTTCAGGCAGGCGAAACTTACGACTGGGAAGGACTGGTCGTCATGGTGTGGATAGAAGACTTCAGTCCGTTGTTAAGCAGAATCCTCGATCAAAGTACGTGCCATATGCCAACCGACAAACACAGACAGTCAAGCTACCCCAAAGACTGCCAGATATCCCGGGGTCAAGGAATGGTGCGTTTGCTGGTGCGTTCGCGAACAGGCTGGCACCACAAAGTCAGTTGCCAGATGCGGAAGGGGAACGATTCAGGTTTCACATCCCCGGCGATGTGATCCTCTCGGCCCTTCATGATGCCGTTAAAGAAATCAATGGGCGCATGCCGACACCTTCTGCGTCATGGGCTGCGCAACAACAACCACAGCCAGGACCACAACAACTACAGCCACAGCCACAGTCACAGCAACAGCAACAGCAACAACCACAGCGACAGCAACAGCCACAACCACAACCACAGACACAGCTACAGCAACAGCCACAACCACAACCACAGACACAGCGACAGCGACAGCAACAGCAACAGCAACAGCCACAAGCCCCAGAACCACTGCAAGAAATAAGTCCAGACAATCCACCAGTAGACTTGCTGCCTCCTACAGAGTTGTTGGAATCACAACCAGTATCACAAGCTCAAAGTCAATATGAAAACCGAACACAGCCACAAAAACAAACTAAAGTAGACTCACAAACTCAGCCACAACTGTCTAGTTTACAAAGTCCGTCACAATCACAGCCACCTCAAAGCCAAGTTCAGATTCCACCAGAAATACAATCAGAGACCCAACCACAATTGTCGAATTTGAAAAGTCTCCCACAACCTCAACCCCAAAGCCAAAGTCAGATTCCAACAGAAATAGAATCACAAACTCAAGAAGAATTGTCGAACTTGCAAAGTCCACCACAACCTCAAAGCCAAAGTCAGATTCCATCTGAAATACAATCTCAACTTCAACCATTATCCCAACTCCAGTCACAACCTCCACCACATCAACGACTCTCCCTTCAGCCACGGTCACGACGACCACAAATGTACTCTCAACAGCGTTTCCCAACTCCTCAGAGGCTTCAGTTCAGGCGGAACGGCCCACAACAGAATCTAGCTGGAAGCCGAATGCCTCAAACGAGGCGACAAAATCCACTTCGAACCCAAAGACCTGTGCGGCTGGAGGCTTCCGTTCCGCGGGTACAACCACAGGGTGTCCGACCGAGTGTGCCAGAACGACAGACAGTCCATCGCAACAAAGTCAAATTATTAAAATCACAACGACCTACAGGGAAGGCCACGCCAATGGACAGACAGTGGCCACAGAGACAAGACGAGTTTCGAGGTCAAAGTCGAGGTCAAGTCCAAGGTCGACCTGGAATGGTTAGGTCAACGGGAACATTTAGGCCAACTGGCTCTAATTCTGGTCAGAGAACACGTGGTGAGTAGAGTAAATATTAGATTGAATAAATGTTAATGCATACAGATTTACATATATGTTTACTTTATAATTTACATAACCATCACGGGTGATGAGTTTAATGAAACGTTGTCCTTAAGATGATCAATCCAGTTAATTGGAGAATCTCACCGGTCTAAAGAAAGTATTTGATGTTAAAGAAAATTTACACCCATCTTCGGTGGTATGAAATCAAAAGTAAACAAAAACAATGTTTTTTCTTCAAAGGAGATGTATTTCATACGAGTATCACAGCTATACTTTGGACCTTAAATTTGCAGCTCTTCGGCTACTGATTTCAGCATTGTAACGTTTAGATAATGTTTGTATTTTATAGTCAAACCCAGTTGTCAGATGATTCATTTTACTTGCCCAGCTGTTAATCAGTTTGTCATGAATACATTAATTGTGATAATTCTTCAGTTCAAACACAAATCCAACGAAATAGCTATTATGTTTTGTTGGCCTATTGAATCATATCACCGTCTTCCCTACTGGTTGGCCTAATGGTTAAGGGGTTATATGATCACGTCAAAGACCCAGGTTCGATACCCCCTAAGAGCAATAAGTCCAGTTTTGGTGTCCCCCGTTTTGAAATTGCAGAAACAGTATTGGTATATTTAAATAGGCCCTACCGATAAGCTGATATCAAATGATTATATGAACATTGTCAATAAACTGTTCTGTTTATTAATGAGGGATCAGGTCTGATGTGTACAATTGGCTTTTGTCACATGCATGGTATCTATTTCCAGGTCTTCGGTGTTTCGACCTCGTGACGTCTTGTCGCCATTTTGCTGACGCCAACAGTTGCGGTAAATCGAACTTCGTGAGGCAGAACTGTCGCAGAACTTGTCAGATTTGCTAACTTATGATTGGTCAGTTGATCTGCCAATTGGTGGTGGGAGCGGCCGTGGAACTTTGCTTAAAAATGATTGGTCAGTTGATCTGGCCAAGGTCAAATGTGATCTGCTAATGGTGATGGGGAAATCGCGAGACAGTGTCCATGTTTTGTCTTATCGCCTATTTAACGATTATTTATTCAAAATAACTGTCGGTGATTGGATATGACTCAGGAAGTGGGGAAAGGTTTCTCCAAGACAATTAAAACTGAATGGTTCATAACGTGTGTCTAAGGATAATCTTGTGTATCAGGTTCATCAGTTATTTCAATAAAGATTGGCAAATTTTTGTATCTATTTCCTATTTCAACACATGGGTATGATGAACGAATCCCAATGTCCCAGTTTAGATTGTATGCCCACTTCCAGCAGGTGCTGAGAATGAAGTTTAAATGTACACTGATCAACTGACCGGGACAACGTGAATGCCATTGAAACGTTATTCAGAGGTGAGGTGAGGTGAAATTGGGTTTTACGTCGTGCTTGAGAATATTTCGCTCATATGACGACGTGCATGCGTGTGTATGTGGGTGTGCGGCTGCTTGTACTAGCCCAGACTGAAGCTGGTTTTATAGTGCTAGCCCACTGAGATACTATGCGGTAGTGAAGCATGAATACCCCACTCAGAACCACTATACTGACTCCGAGCCGACCAGTCCTTGTTGTACCCATTAATGCCGAGCGCCAGACAGGGACCAACAAGTACCATATTTTAACGTCTTTTGGTATGACGCGGTCGGGGATCGAACCCGCGACCTTCCGCTCTCCGGGTGGACGCTCTAACCACTACACCACGGAGGCGGTCCGTTATTCAGAGTGTCAGTGTAATAAAACTACTACTACTACCACTGCTGCTGCTAGCAGTAGTCTGAGCAATAGTATGCAGAACGTGTTTTATCTTCAATAAACGTAAACCAAAAACCATTATTGATTTGTTAGCACTGTATTTTGCTCATTGTTTTTGTCACAATGTTAAATGTACAATATGTAACAACTTGTTTGAGAGGCATTTATCAGTTGGATCAGTAAGGAAGGATGACAATATTTGGACTTCCCTGATAACGGTGTTAGAATCTACACCGAAACGTCGCTCTTGCTGTAATATAGAAGTTGTTCATCCATATATTGTCATCCTACCGGATACAATATGTCTCATTCTGTGACTTTTTCCCTTCTGGTTCACCAACGACATAATGCTGTTGAAAGCAGTGACAGACCTTGAACCTCGAATTCTACTTTAGGAAACTGAGACATAAAATTGATAACACGTCAAATTAATTAAACGATCAACAATTTTATTCACGGATCAAAATAGACGACTCTGAACACGAAACACAATATCAACATTGTTAAGGAACGTAAATCCCATTGCTTTCCGGTCAGCGTGCGTTTACAGCCGTTCATCAACACTCAGTGATTGTTCCTTTATTTTACAACACCCAAATTCGTCCAGGCATTCATTTATTACCCCATTTATAGCAACAAGAAGCCATTGTTGCAAGTTTAGAAGTCACGCCATGTTTCCTTCTCTCAAAGATTCAACGAGATGTTCGAACAACAAGACACAGTTGGAAACAGACATTACTCGGGGACACACAACGTACACAGTGATCACTTGTTCAAGAGAAATGTTACATGACGTCATTTCCTCCGACCATTGATGACGACGTCACTCTTCCCGTCTGACAAGACTACTCGTTGTAGAATGTCGTCTGGCGTTTCCTCGCCTTCTTGTTCAACTTTTCCCAGTGACGACAAACACGTGCCGGATAGAACAACTCCTCTGTACACGGATTCACATCGATTAACTGTCTTACGGCTGCGCTGTGATACCCACTTTAGCTGGTGTTAAAACTCGGGTTCGAATCTCAATTTCCGGGTTAAAACATGGCAGGACGCATGTCTTGTACTCGGTCCGGCATGGCTCAAAACACTCCCGTTTCTTGCCCTCCATTGTAGGTTTCAGACACCCCCGCATTTGCAAGCAAGCGGCAGTTTTTTCAAGACACTTGTACGCGCATGCGTGACGTCTGACTGTTCCAAGTGGTGGTCGAGCTGGCATAGCTGACGTCATGATCAGAGTGACGCTCATAATAGCAGCCAAGAAAATTGTGCTGGATTTAGTCATCTGAAACAAAGATACATTAATGAAAATTTACGATTTGTTTAAAAACGGAGCGTAGCTATATCTAAACTATATAATGTGTGAGGTTTTAACGTTTTAGCTTGGTCGCCGTTCATGAGCGGGAACGAGAATCCACAACCAGCTGAGTCCAGTATCTAAGGGACACAACTCATCATGGCGGCACGTTGGATCAGTTGGCTGTGTCCACTGGTTCATGGGATTTAGTTACGAAAATTTATAATTCAGTTATGTCCACTGATTTATAGCTATTGTTTATAAATTATTATATTTTGGTCTGGACTTGCTTATTTTATTTAGTTGAAGTTATCGTTATGAAAACGGACTATAGTGGTTCAGCGTTCGCGCGTCAGAGACGGGTTCGATTCTCAACATGGTACACTGCATGAAGTGTCAGTGACTCATCCGCGTCATACCCTACTTTGTAGCCTTTCTGAACCGAAGGCAGGGGCGGATACAGCTTTTTGAGAAAGCGGGGTGCACACTATTGAGAAAAGGGAGGGTGCACACTGTTTCAATGGTCATTTAATAAACTTTCCAGGACAAAGGGGTGGTGCGCACCCCTGCACCCCACCCCCCTCTCCCTCTGGTTCCGCCTATGGAAGGTGGACTAGCATGGAGGTAATAAGCGTTCGCTAGTCGAGCCTGGACCAGACAATCCAGTGCTCAACAGCATGAGCATCGACCTACACAATTGGGATACGATGATACGTGTCAACCAAGTCAGCGAGCCTGACCAGCGGACCCCGTTAGTCGCCTCTTACGACAAGCATGGGTTACTGAAGACCAATTCTAACTCGGAGTGAGTGAGTTTAGTTTTACGCCGCACTCAGCAATATTCCAGCTATATGGCGGCGGTCTGTAAATAATAGAGTCAGGACCAGACAATCCAGTGATCAACAGCATGAACATCGACCTACACAATTGGAAATACGATGACATGTGTGGATAAAGTCAGTAAGCCTGACCACCGGATCCCGTTAGTCGCCTCATACGACAAGCATGAAACCATAACAGCCGCTGAGCAACAAAGGGAAAACACTACATAACAACATTACTGTCACTCGCACGTTACCGTAATGACGCCTCCAGGATATTAGAGCAAAGACGGCGTTGTTTACAAGAAACTTCATCCATCTTTCTACTGATCAATCTAATTGTAACATGGTTTGACGTAACACACGGCTTAACTGAAGTTAATGAACTAGGGGCTAGAGGTGTTTGCTAGAAACTAAGTATTATACCACAATTATGTTATGACATTGGGGATTATGGTGCGAGCTGATCCAGGTTGAATTACGACAGGACAACACCCTGTCGCAGACATTATGTAATTGTGTGCTCATTATCACTCTTATACCAGGCATGTCCTACCACGGCGTTATCACTCTTTATACCAGGCATGTCCTACCACGGCGTTATCACAGCGATTCACCATATTAGGGTACTTCTGGATATCCTCCCAGCGTCTTTTGGATTCAATGACGTCACAAGAGGCGTGTTTACAAGACACGTGAGTGCCATAAATGTAAGATGGAAACTCTTTGGCACGATATACATTCAAAATTTTGAGAAATAAATTTTTCGAACTAAGAATCCTGAGAATACTGACAAATTGGGAGGAGTGAGTTTAGTTTTTACGCCGCACTCAGCAATATTCCAGCTATATGGCGGCGGTCTGTAAATAATCGAGTCAGGACCAGACAATCCAGTGATCAACAGCATGAACATCGACCTACACAATTGGAAATACGATGACATGTGTGGATAAAGTCAGTAAGCCTGACCACCGGATCCCGTTAGTCGCCTCATACGACAAGCATGAAACCATAACAGCCGCTGAGCAACAAAGGAAAACACTACATAACAACATTACTGTCACTCGCACGTTACCGTAATGACGCCTCCAGGATATTAGAGCAAAGACGGCGTTGTTTACAAGAAACTTCATCCATCTTTCTACTGATCAATCTAATTGTAACATGGTTTGACGTAACACACGGCTTAACTGAAGTTAATGAACTAGGGGCTAGAGGTGTTTGCTAGAAACTAAGTATTATACCACAATTATGTTATGACATTGGGGATTATGGTGCGAGCTGATCCAGGTTGAATTACGACAGGACAACACCCTGTCGCAGACATTATGTAATTGTGTGCTCATTATCACTCTTATACCAGGCATGTCCTACCACGGCGTTATCACTCTTATACCAGGCATGTCCTACCACGGCGTTATCACAGCGATTCACCATATTAGGGTACTTCTGGATATCCTCCCAGCGTCTTTTGGATTCAATGACGTCACAAGAGGCGTGTTTACAAGACACGTGAGTGCCATAAATGTAAGATGGAAACTCTTTTGGCACGATATACATTCAAAATTTTGAGAAATAAATTTTTCGAACTAAGAATCCTGAGAATACTGACAAATTTATGGAGTTTCTATTCTAACCGTGCCGAAACAGATTCTTGTACCGTTGGCAATCAGGCTTGTAACATAAAGTGGAAGGGATGTATACGTCCCAGCCAACGATGTATACTTCCCAACTTCTAAAATTCCACTCAAAGAAGTTACGAATCCTGAGGTTACTAAATCTGTGAGTGAGGGAGGGAGTGAGTTTAGAATTACGCCGCACTCAGCAATATTCCAGCTATATGGTGGCGGTCTATAAATAATCGACAGACAATCCAGGGATCAACAGCATGCTCGATGCAACTAGAATACGATGGCATGTAACAACCAAGTCAGCAAGCTGACCGACCGATCCCGTGTGTCGCCTCTTGGTTGCTGAAGATCAATTCTAACCCGGATCTTCACGGGTTACAAAATCTGTGAATCAATTACGTCCTATAGAGGGATCAGCTAAAACATCTACTATCCAAAGCTGTATGCACGATAGATAATCCTGGTGGAAATGTGAAATAAAGCCTGAGAAAACTTTACACTGAAAGACCAGTATTTCGATGAAAAAAGACATAGACCGACAAAATCGCTTGCACATTATCTTTAAATAATCTCAGAAGTTCAACAAGGGGTAGGGCATATCCGAGATAACTCCCTCCAGACTTGAATGTACTCCCAATTTGGTATCTTATTTAAATATATGTGCATAAAAAAAATATAATCTAATTGAACCCAGGACAATGCTCTCTAGAAAAATCAAATGGTAAGCTTGAGTTGATTTTGGGATTTCTTTTTCCATTAGCAATGTTATAAACAGGATAACAGCAATAGTTTAACACACACCTATCAAAACTGAAAAATGGTCATGGTTAAACTCGCGAAGGGCAATGATGCCGTGAATAGGTTACTGATGGATTTCAACTAAAACTAACTGTATACATTTCATTCGGAAAATTGAAAAGTCAATTCTTTTGCCACAACACGTTATTAATAACAGCAACAGTTTTCAAAGATAACAGATAGCAAAATATTATTGTATGGATGCCGGAACGGTTCTACAAACCTATATTTTGTCTACACTAAGAATTTGCCTAATTCAGAAAATACCCCGTTTTAAATACTTACATGCAGTACTTTCAGATAAATGTTCAAAATAAAACATAAATCTGAATATAGATAAATTAAAATAGATCTGAACATTTTTCATTGTATCTGTACATATTTGATTATAAATTATATAAATAACGAATAACTAGTATTTTCAAACAATATTTCATGAGAACCTGTATATGTCTAAATACAGTATAACGTAACTTACCGCTAGGGCTAAATGCTTATCGGAGAACGGTCGTCTGCTTACGGCTGCACGGTCGATTAGTGAATGGAAGCGCGAGCAGACGACTTTATATCTGTCAACTGCTTCCGGCAAGATATGAGCGGATATGGTGATTTGCCTCTGCGGAAATTGGGCTCATACCATCCCTCGTGCCTCGAGATGCGACATCGGCGACAACATGCTGCATTATGTGTTTATATTTAGGCTAGTTATGACAAAATCGGATTACTGATCTTGGCGGAACTGGTTTCAAAGATGGGGCTGGGTACTAGGGCTGAACGGGCTCTGTGAGGAGCTAGTGGCGTATGCAAGGCATGGTTTCTTGCCGTCAATCCTGTACTGTTTTTATAGAGGGTCTGTATCTTTTCAGACCCGAGGATACTGGCCAAACTAATATACAGTAACATATCTATCTGTATAAAAGGCGATATTACCTCCACCGAAATGTGGCTCCCACTGTAATAAAGCTGTGGTTCATCCTTATCTATCTATCTATCACTCTATGTATCTATCTATGTCTGTCTGTCTAACTTTGAATTGGCACTGAAACCGGAGTGCATACTCCATATCTATCTATCTACCTATCTATATATCTATCTATCTGCCTGTCTAAACTTGCATTGGCACTGAAACCGTAGCGCATACTCCATATCTATCTATCTACCTATCTATATATCTATCTATCTGCCTGTCTAAACTTGCATTGGCACTGAAACCGGACTGCATACTCCATATCTATCTATCTACCTATCTATATATCTATCTATCTGCCTGTCTAAACTTGCATTGGCACTGAAACCGTAGCGCATACTCCATATCTATCTATCTATCTATCTGCCTGTCTAAACTTACATTGGCACTGAAACCGTAGTGCATACATCCATAAACAGGTACATAGGTACCGGTGAGAGCGGGAGAGGTGGGATGGGTGTGATAAGCTGTGATCGTATGGGTGGGTGTGCGTGTGTGTTCATATATTTGGACCTTGTGAGGATTTATAAGTCCTTTTGAGATTTGTAAGATAACGTTTCAAACGCCCTGGGGCGCCCAACCTCGTCTGTAGTTGTTAACATCAATGTACCCTCTTAATAAATGTCAGTCAGTTACGTACTCAGTCCAGGGATTTCACACATAACTTACACCACCTGGTCCACGAATGTGAAACAGTTTACATGTATCAGTATTGTCGTGATTTGCATGAACTTGAACTTGATAGTAAATATAAATATTAGCAAACCATTCTAAAATATTCTTCTCCATGCCCGACATTTGCATCAGGTGGTGACTGAAGTCTCTTGTAGAACATACTGTGTCACATTTTCAACCGATCTGCCAACATTCACTTTATTAAGGTAATTTTATCTAAAAACGTTGCCTTTACAGGCAATTCTATGGCAAAGGAATATGATGTTTAATAAAACCACATGTCTCTGTTTTCCTATCAACAACCATTCTGAATGATTAAGGTTTTACGCCGCTTTTCGCAGTAATCGAGCATTACAACGGGGGTTGGGGGGGTAGGGTGTTCACCTGACATTTTCTTCTCACATATATCACATGACGAGAATCAAACCCGGTCTTTCGGTGTGACATCATGCTGTGATGAAAGTGGGTCGGGTGGAGGGGTTATTTTGGGGGTTAACATTTAAGGGGTTAACATGCCACGTGTTGATGTCTCCTTACGGACATAGTTATCGTATGACGCTATATCCTCAACTCTGAGTCAGACCTCACCAGCTGTAACACTGACACACATTTACGTGTCAATAACGTCAACTGCGGCTTTTCTCGAAATTCGACTTAACGACGCAGCATAGTATGCGGATGTCGAAGCTATATGTGTCGAGGAAGGGATGGGGATGACGCACACAACGTCATTATCTCAAGCGACGACAGCATTTACCGGATCACGCACGTCTTCGTCCAATGTTGCTGCGATCAAAACAACGGTCGACTCATTTGTATAGAGGAAATTAAAATATCTCTCTTCTAAGACCATGATCTCTTGTATATAATTGTTTAAATGTTCGATCGGCATTCGAGAAGTTGGTGAGTCAATAACAAAGCGTACAACGTTATGGACAACAACTTCTTGTTTATTGCTGAGAGCGACGTTTCTGTGTAGATTCTTACACCGTTATCAAGCTAAACGTGACTACAAGCAAGTGATGAGAAATATATATACATAGTATATTTTGACAAACATCATATTGACATTAACAACAGCATGTACCTAAATAACAAGTGACACATAATAATGAGTTCAGTTTTACTACACTGAACTCTGCAATATTCCAGCTATATCGCGACGGTCTGTAAATAATCGAGTCTGGACCAAACAATCCAGTGATCAACAGTATGAGCGTCGATCTACGCAGTTGGTATGGATGACATGTGTTAACCAAGTCAGCGAGTCTGACCACCCTACCTAGTTATAGTCGCCTCTTACGACAAGCATGGAGGACTGTTTAGACCAATTCTAACCCGGATCTTCACGGGTATGGAGAGTAAGAATATAGCCCAGATGTAGTGAGTGAGTATGAAATTTCGCCGCTTTTAGCATATTCCAGCAATATCACGACCGGCTTTACACTTTGTACCAATGTGGTAGATCGAACCGGGACCGCCCAGTGAAGGGGTGAAACCTCTTACAGCTAGATAGTGACGCGGTCAGTGATCCTGGTGTAGATAAGGGAGTCAACTCTGTATAGTGATTTACAGAGTAACACTTTTGGTCGTGTAAAATATGTACGATTGTAACTCAAATTTCACTTTATGAATTTTACACAATCATAGCTGAAAACATGTTAAACCAATATCAACCATTTTGTTCATCTCTAACGAATATACCAAGATACATTAAAAGGCGGTACTTGTTGTTAACCAGCCTGGCGTTCAGCATTAGGGAGAGGGAGAATAGTCGTCTGCTCCGAGTCTGTGAACTGCGCCTCAGTGGAACATCCGCGTTAGAATGGGGCCTGATATAACAGTGGGCTAGCACTATCATGTCAAGACTAGTACAAGTACGCACACGCACACGCACACGCACACGCACACGCAGATGTGATAGAATCAGTTGATTTCCAAGAGAGAGAAAAGTCTTCATATTCGTAAAGTCTGGAAATGTCCACTGAAAGTATTGATACCACATGCTAGGTAATCGGTTTCCATAGAAAAAACACATTTGGAGACATGCGTGGCCTAGAGGTACTGACGTAGGGAGAGTAACTGAATGGCAGACAAAATTTTCTTTGGGTGATATGTGTTATTAACAGTTGAACACATGCTGTTCTGCTATTTCTGTTAATTATGGACAAAATCATTGATAAAATACAAGTAAAACTTGATAAAATAAATAAACTTCATCTTTGTTCTTGGTGTTGTCATACAGTGAATAATTTGAATAGCAATTAACAATTTGTAGCTTGCATTTTATCACCAACATCCTGTTTGGATGAAATGGATGATGACTTCCTACTTGTTCAAGGGGTAATCCCCCATCGTGCCTGTTTAAGCTTTTGGGGTGGAGAGAGGGAGGGGGTCACATCAAACGCTATTGGGGACCGGCGGATGCTTGTAACACACAGATAACGACTTGTGACAAACACAAACACAAACACAAACACAAACGATGAGTTTTTCTTCACTTTTCAGAAATAAATGATTCACAGCCCAACTTAACGTGAAACAGCACTTTGTAATATTGTAGTTTATTAATGTTGTCTTTCAGTGGCATTTAGAAGTTGTACAGTTGATGTCCAAGATATTTTTATGGATTAAACTTCTTTTTAATTTCTCTCACAACGTTTCGAGATCATTCCAGGTCCCTTCATCAGGTGAACTGGCAGTTAGGACTATGACGTCGTCACTATAACTCAGTAATGACGTCATAGTGACGACGTCATAGTCCTAACTGCCAGTTCACCTGATGAAGGGACCTGAATGGTCTCGAAACGTTGTGAGAGAAATTAAAAGAAGTTTAATCCATAAAATATCTTGGACATCATATAATGTTGTAGATGGCCTCACATACCGGAAAATGAGACGTTGTATTTCGAAACGTCCTGTTCCTTGATGGAGTAAAAATATACTCCAAATCGTCGTTTTGCTCCACCTGATGAAGGAGTAAGGATATTCTCTGGACACATCGTCGTTTTGCTCCACCTGATGAAGGAGTAAGGATATTCTCTGGACACATCGTCGTTTTGCTCCACCTGATGAAGGAGTAAGGATATTTCTCTGGACACATCGTCGTTTTTTGCTCCACCTGATGAAGGAGTAAGGACATCGTCTCTCCACCTGATGAAGGAGTAAGGATACATCGTCGTCGTTTTGCTCCACCTGATGAAGGAGTAAGGATATTCTCTGGACAAATCGTCGTTTTGCTCCACCTGATGAAGGAGTAAGGATATTCTCTGGACAAATCGTCGTTTTGCTCCACCTGATGAAGGAGTAAGGATATTCTCTGGACAAATCGTCGTTTTGCTCCACCTGATGAAGGAGTAAGGATATTCTCTGGACAAATCGTCGTTTTGCTCCACCTGATGAAGGAGTAAGGATATTCTCTGGACAAATCGTCGTTTTGCTCCACCTGATGAAGGAGTAAGGATATTCTCTGGACAAATCGTCGTTTTGCTCCACCTGATGAAGGAGTAAGGATATTCTCTGGACAAATCGTCGTTTTGCTCCACCTGATGAAGGAGTAAGGATATTCTCTGGACACATCGTCGTTTTGCTCCACCTGATGAAGGAGTAAGGATATTCTCTGGACAAATCGTCGTTTTGCTCCACCTGATGAAGGAGTAAGGATATTCTCTGGACAAATCGTCGTTTTTGCTCCACCTGATGAAGGAGTAAGGATATTCTCTGGACAAATCGTCGTTTCGTTCCTCCACCTGATGAAGGAGTAAGGATATTCTCTGGACAAATCGTCGTTTTGCTCCACCTGATGAAGGAGTAAGGATATTCTCTGGACAAATCGTCGTTTTGCTCCACCTGATGAAGGAGTAAGGATATTCTCTGGACAAATCGTCGTTTTGCTCCACCTGATGAAGGAGTAAGGATATTCTCT